GCTACCTTTAGCTGTCTCACTGAAAACTTCGGCTGTTTTACCTACTGCACTTGAAATTATCACTCTGATTTTAATGGGGTTTTTTCTTACTTATTTTAATTTTTTACTTCCATTTCACCATCTGGGTGCTACTTTCAACTTGAGTCTGCTACCTTTAGCTTTTAGCTTATGTTTTGCGCAACAGGCATTCACCCTTGCATTTTCGTAGGAAATGCAAATTCTCTAGTTTATATGGATGTAGTCAAATCAAATACTCATTATTACAACATCCCACATTTTTATTAAGTATGCACACTGAGACATTCCTGTCACATTTACAGGGTCCTAGGATTATTTATAGTGTGTGTTTTAAAGTTTTATACATAACAGATAAACAATAACAGTGTTTCTTTGTGTCAGAGTTACAAAACTTGATAATATCTGAATAAAATCTCAATGAAAATTTATATTTATATATTTATATTAATAAATATATGTGGGCCAAATGAAACATGTTTATTTATCACCTTGTTGCCATGATGTGAGGATTTGCATATATTTATGCAACAAGAAAACCTTGTTTTTAACTAAAATGCCATAGAATACTGTTGCCTACTTTAAGCAATATTATACTTTATTACATTGTTGCTGTGTTTGTGAGCATCACTGTGTGTTTGTGTGTGTTTGCAGCGGCGGTGTTGAAGTATGAGAACAATGTGATGAATATCCGACAGTTCAACTGCTCTCCACATCCCTACTGGCTGCCCAACTTCATGGATGTCTTCACGTGGTCACTGCCTTTCGTAGGAGAAAAAGGTGCTCTGACAGTATGTTTCAGTGATAATGTAAAGCTCTATAAATATCAGAGACAGTGAGTTCAGATGGCACATAGGAAATTGAAGATTTTGAAGTTGTTTTTTTAATCAGCTGTGTGGAAAGATTTCATGTTTTCATTGATCTGCAGTGAAAAGTGAGCAGCAGATGTGCAGACAGCTAAAATGGCCACATTTTTTGAAGCGTCCTTCAGCATTTCAGTGATTTAACATAACCTGATGCTTCCTTATAAGATAACTTTACTAACTGGCTTTCTTAATGTATGTGATGTTTTTGTGTAGTGCCCTGAGATGACTTTTGCTGTGATATGACACTATACACATAATCTGAACTGAATTTGACTTGAATAAACAGTTAAATGTGCCAACAAGTGTTTAATAAGCACCACTTGTGTATGAACAACATAATCAGGTGAGAATGCTCACCTTTTTTAGTTTTTCAGTTACATATTGCTTTTTATTTTGCAAAAACTTTAAGCCAAAATGTTGAAACAGATACTCCAGGTTTTTGTGATGTGTACAAAATTAGAACAAGATAAATTATTTCAGAACTTTTTCTACCTTTAGTTCGAGCTATAACCTGTGCAACTGAATTGAAAAAATAATGTTTTATGTGGTAAATAAAAAATAAAAACTCAAAGTGGTTGCATAAGAATGGACACCCTCATATAACTGGGATGTGGGTGTTCAGAATGAACTAATCCCATTCAATCTCATGTTAAATAAGTCAGTACACACCTTCCATTATTTAACATGCCTCTGATTAACTCCAAAAAAAGTTCTAGCAGATCTGACAGATTTGGAGCATTTTTACAAAGACGTGTGAGCAAATACTGTATTGCAGACTCCTACGCACAAAAAACTGTACTGTAATGAAGTCTAAGGGTGCTTGATTTGATTTGATTTATTGATTTAACAGGAAAAGATTACTAAAAATCAAGCCTGACTCAGCAAAGTGTGCAAACTTTATTATGAGGCAGAGGTCATATTGTACTGGGTTTTTTTTTCAAGACATTTGTTCAACCATAGCATGGAAACGGCTGTACCAATCAACGTGAAATTTGGTAGGAATGTAGATGTGTCCAACCTTCACTGCACCAGCCAATGGTTTTACAATAGACACCATAATTGAGGGGGGAGCATCTGAAAAGGGGGTGTCTGGACATACAAAAATGCTTATAACTCAAAAACTGTTCAACATAGGAGCTTCAGACTTTGCGTAGATGCGGGGGGCATATATGCTACAGCTACGCAATATCTAGTTTTGGGTTTTTTGTTTTACTTTCTCCCCAAAAAGGTTTTTTATTATTTTTTTAATTGACGTACAGATTATACCAGGGGGTTCTTAACCTTTTTGACCTCAGGGCCCAATTTATTGAACATAAAGTGTCACGAGACCCAGTCAGACATTACCAATGTACGGATCAAAATGATTATTCTAAATCTTGGTTTAATTTTTATTGTATTTGCATTATAACTAAATTAAATACACTTATAAGTAAGTGTATTTTAAGTACACTTAAAATTATAACTCCTATCAAATAATCACAAGACATGATTATGACAAACAATTTTTTTAAATTGTAACCTGCCCATAACAATTACGTATTTGAACAGTCAGTCAACAGACCACTCAAGCTTATCAACAC